GATAGTGGTCAAATGATCATAATCAGACAACAGTAACCTAAATATCACAGTCAGACAACAGCGGTCAAAAGATCATAGTTGGGCAATGATATTCAGAAGACCGTAATCAGGAGATAATAATATTAAACTCTCTCTACTACTGTGTATATTCTAACTCACAATAATAACTATTCATGTATAAAAAAGGCATTTAATTTTATTAAAAGATGAACCTTTTAACATTTAAATGGTCTAACGACTTTGAAGTTTAATAATCTTAGGCACGTTGGATTTCTCTCATTGAGATGCTTGCTTTGACTTGAAGCACTTCAGATAAGAAGCTCATTTAATATTTCAATTAATATAACAAATTTTGTGTGTATGTGTGTCTGTATGTGTGCGTGTGGGGACACTTTTTTTTGGGACATTTAGGCCATTTAAGGTAAACTCACACACACAACGCATTCACAAAGACTCGAACCCAAGACCTCTTAGTTGGAAGCCTAAGCTCTCAACTAACATGCCAATGTGAGCTGTGTACACATTTCTTCTAAGTATGTGTTCCATACTTAACAACTAGGTCAATTGCAAATAACAAAAAATTCATTTCCAATTTTCTTTCACCCATTTTTCTACAAAATAGAAATCTTTACATTTAAAGCACATGTTGGACTTTACAATAAATACCTAATTCTAAAAATATCTAATAAAAAAGATAAAATCAAATTTAGTTTATCATTATTAAAATATTTTTTTATCTACTTGTAAATAATCAAATAATCACTTAAATTTTAAAGAAAAACCTCAATAAAAAAATAAATTCTCCCCGGCTGAACATTTATAATAATTAAACTTAGATTCCATCGACTTGATCTTATCAAATAATGAAAGTTATGAATCATTGGAAACCCAATTTGTTGAGGAAATAAAACTTTGGATAGAAAAAATAAAAATCTATCTCATTTGATAATTTCATGATTTATTAAGCACTAAAAGCTGAAGCTTTTGTTCATATGCAGCTAAGATATAGGTCTAATATGTCTCATTCCCAACAATTTTAAAATATTTACCTTTTGCAAATATGACCAAAACATTACCAAATCGACCTCATCATTTGTCTCAAGTAATTAATAAATTTATATATACAAATTTACATGTCTATTCAATTGATTAATTTTTATTAGAGTCCTTACAACAAGAGTGGTAAGCAAGTCATCTATTAGTAATTTACATTAATTACCAAAAATCTCAGGGTTGAATATGCAAATGTGTTGATGCTAATTAAATTACATGAGTGGAAGAGAAGAGAAGGTCTTTGGTGACAAAAGGTAATTAACTACAACTTTGGAATGGAATGAAAATAATTTATAAATGGTTGATTTGATTATAGTTTGCTATATAATGGGAAAGCATTAAATTAAGATTTTATTTGTGGCAGTTCAAGCATTCTATTTTTTTGTTTTTAAAAAGGGAGATTTACATACATTTCATTTTTTATCATCATATTTACATATCTAACATCCTAAAATTTAATATTATATACATATCATCCTATGTATGTAATATTAAACTTTTAGGTGTCAGATATGTAAATAGAATAATATATGTTGGTATGCAGGTAAATCTCCCTTTTAAAAATTACTTTCGCTATAATTTCAAATTAAACTATTTTTCAAAAATAACTTTTAAAAAAAATTCAAAATAGGTAGAAAAAACGGTCTTTCAAACACCATATTTTTTACTTAATTTATTTAATTTTTCTAGATAAGTTTATAAAAGATATTAAAATTTGAACTTTTGATAATTTGGTTCACTCTATTTTGTTGTGAGATAATTGATGAATTTTAATTTTTTTCTAATAAATGAAATATAGTAATAATAAAAATAACAATAATCAGAAAAATAGTAAGGAGGCAAAATGTTAATTATGAAGTTGGAAGAATAAAATTAAGAATACAATAATTAATTTTGTTTGATATAATAATTATTTAAAAATAAGAAATTAAAATATAATTTTAAAAGTGATGATTGAAATAAGAAATTTGAGAGTACTAATATTATCCATATTTAAAATATAATTTTTAAAAAATTATAATTAAAATTTGTTCAATAGAAAAAATTGTAAAATTTAGAAAAATGATAATAATAGTCAATATAGCATGGCTAATAATTACCTAATATTGCAAATTTACATTTAGATTTAGACTCATGATGCGCGTCTGCTAGGGTTTCTTTCCTGGCGTGTCTCTCGCTGGGGGCGTTTCTGCTTCTCGCTGACGGCTCGCTCCACTCAGGGAAGTCTTCCTCCTTTCTTTATGTGGGATTTTCGCTTTGCTTTCTTATAACTTTGGCTTCTCCCTTATGGCGGTTAAGCTCGATGATCCTGATTTTCCTTATAATAAATCTAACTCTCGTTCGTTCAATGATACCCTTAAGGGCTGTTCCTCCGGGTCTTTTCGGATCTTAAGCATTCTTCTTTTCAGGGTTTCCCCTCTCTATGGATTTTCAAAGAAGAGGCTTTGGCTCTTGCGGCCCCTTTCGCATTTTTCTTAGTCGGCTATTTCCCTAATCTGCGACCTTCATTGGATAACATTAGACGATTTTTCTTTAATTTAAAATTATATGGGGAATTTTCTATCACTTTGTTGGATTCCCGTCATGTGTTGATCAAATTGTGTAGTGACTTAGACTACTATCATGTGTTTGCTCATGGATCCTATTTTGTTAGGAATTTCTTTATGAAACTTACCAAGTGGTCCCCGTATGTGGACATCTCTGAGGAATCCCCTATTGTCCATGTTTGGGTCTCTTTCCCGAACTTAAGGCCTCATTTTTTCTCTTCTCGTATCTTGCATGATCTGGGTTCTATCTTTGGTCGTCCACTTCGTGTTGATAATGCCACGGTGGTGGGGTCTCGTCCATCGGTTGCTAGAGTCCTGGTGGAGCTTGATATCACGAAACGATATCCAGATAAGGTGTGGGTGGGTCCAAAGAAATTAAGATATTTTCAATCGGTTTTGATGTATGATTTTTCACCTTATTGTGAGCATTGTAAATCTCTCGGTCATTCTAGGAAAGAATGTTCTAAAATTCATCCCCGGGTTATTCAGGGGAATCAGGATTTGGTGACGGTTGCTAGTGTTGCTCTTGATGCGAATTTGGATATTGCTAGGAATGGTGATGTTACATTAACTGTGTCTGATATGGAATCTGAGGGGAGTGCTAAGCTAGTGGATAATGAAAATTTGGATCCCGTGGTTAATGTTGTTTCTAACAATTTGGAGAATTATTGTTTCGCAAATTTGGACTCTTCTTTACCTGTTGAGAGTCAAGGTAATGTTAATTTGGACTCTTTCGTGGAGCTGCATCTAGCTGATGTGTTGCTTCCAGTGGGAAAGGTTCCGTGAAATGCTAATTAGGAGTTGGTTGTTCCTTCTTATGAAACTATTGAGCATTTGGATGATGATGGTTCTTGTCCCATAGCTGATCCATCTTCCCTTCCAGTTCCAATGGCACCGATTGGTGAACCTTTTGTTGAAGTCTCTATTTCTCTTATATCTAATGATGAATTGAAAATCCAATTAAAGGCCAACTTGAATACTAGCTGTCTTGAGCAAATTGACTGGTTATAAGAGTTTGACTCTTCATTTGGGGATGTTGTACCTGGGGCTGATTCTTTTAGGTTTGATGTGTTGCTTCTAGTGGGAAAGGTTTCGTGTAATGCTAATAAGGAGTTGGTTGTTCCTTCTTATGAAACTATTGAGCATTAGGATGATGATGGTTCTTGTCCATCTTCCCTTCCAGTTCAAATGGCACCGATTGGTGAACCTTTTATTGCAGTACCTATTTCCCTTATATCTAATGATGAATTGAAAATCCAATTAAAGGCCAACTTGAATACTAGTTGTCTTAAGCAAATTGATTGGTTGGAGGAATCTGACTCTTCATTTGGGGATGTTGTACCTGAGGCTGATGCTTTTAGGTTTGACCATCCTGGTGTTTATGTTGCCTCTCGTGGGAGGGGTAAACGTGGTAGGACATAATCTTATGTCATGTTGTTGGGTTTGGTTCACATTATTTCGTCTCTATAGTTGATTGATTTTCTGGATGTGAGGTTGTTTTGTTTGGTTGGGCTGATCCTTATTCTGTTTTCTTCCTGTTGGGCGCAACTTGTTGGAAGCATTGGTTGGAAGGCTATCTAGTTAATGTCAACACCCGTTTGATTGGTGGTTGCCATTTTCGTGTGGTGGGTTTTCAATTGCTGACGATTTTTTATATTTGTTGGTTGTGGTTCTTTTTGTTGGTCTTGCGGCTATATTTTATTTATTTGGGCAATGATGTGGCTCAGGCTCACTATTCTGGAGCCGTGGTTCGTGGCATCATTACTGGGTGCGTCTTCTTAGCTCGGTTGGGACCAATCCTTGTTGCTGTCGTTTGTTTGGCTTCTTGATGGATTACTGCTCTCACACTCCTCTGGATGGTCCGTGCTTGACTTCGGAATAGTTGGAAGCCTCTGCCAATTACAGAGCCTGATAGGCTTTTATGCCTTCGTCCCTTTTGTAACCCTCACTTGTTTAGTATTTCTACCTGTTGTACTTCATTTTGTATTGGAATAAAATTTCTTTTTTGCAAAAGTAATAATAATTTTATGTGAAAAAATGGCTAATAATTACTTAGATAAAAATAGAATAATTAATTCTTGAAAATATTTATACCATTATTTAATTTTTAAAAAATAATAATAAACAGAGTTGTTATTATCCTATTAATAAAAATTGTCTACTATATATATGTTAATGAAAATTTCAAAATATTAATAATCATTACAATTATTTTAATAAAATTATTTACATATTGAAAAAAACTGTCAAATAAACTACCAATCCATTATTAAAATAGAGAAATTAAGAAAATTCAGAGATATAATGATCCGATACCATATAATTTTATTAATTGAATGAGCATTACAGATCTCGGGCATCCTTTCTGTTTAAGGCATTATATTGATGATGCTATGAAAATTTTAAAAATCTCAGAAATGTCCACAAGGACCTTTTTTTTTCTCAAAATTATTCTTTACACCCATTGAAATTATTTTTTTTTTCCAAAATCATCCCTATATAAACTCAATAAAACAAAATCCCACAGTTTTCTAATTTACATCAATTATGCTATAAATTTATACAACTTTCTTTGTCACAAATTGTTGCAGCTGGCGCAACAAGAGAGAGAGCAGTGGCTCAAAGCCTTATAGCTTCAGGTGTGTTAGGGCTGGCCAGAGCTGTGGCTGAGCTGGGCGACGGTTCCGCCGCGGGAACGGAGAGTCCGACAGGAGGAAGCCCACTTGTTGTTTCCCACTAAACTAAATCGAGCAGCTAGTCATTTAGTTTATAGTCCGTTTGTGATGGCTACTGCTTTTTATAAAAGTGATTGTAAAATTGCTATGGAAAGCTACTATAGAAAATAGCTTCTGGCACAAAAACTTATTAGAAACGGTTAAGAAACAGTGCCAAACAAAAACAGTGTTTCTTGTCTGAAAAATAATGCAATAAGAAAGCTGTCCCAAACGAAGCCTTATCTTCTATTGCTTCAACTTCTTGACCTCCTCGCTTGGGTAGATATACATCTTTCTCACCATATCACAAAATTCCCTGCAATGGCCCAAAACTCGACTTAGACACCATGAAATAGCTTCAAGGAAATAAAGTTAGATGTTTTACAAGAACCTACAGCCATGGATCGTCACCAACTAGCATTATATCACCCTCATCATCAGTGAACACTACCTCCCATTTATCCCTTGGAGAAAGCTCTCCTTTGATCTCAAACATCTTTTCTAGCTCTGAAATCAGCTCATCATACCCTCTTAGATTCATTAGATCCACAGCTCTACCAACAGCAACGCCGTGCATGTGAACCTTCAATATGATCAAGTTGAGAAATTCTGATTTGTTAAATACTTTGGCAATGATTTTCGGCAAAAGCAACAAAGATTAAGACTTTACCTTAATTCGGCTTCGGGTCGAACCGCTGTGCTTGCTCTGAATCTCCTTGGGAGAAACCAGTTCAGTTTTATGCAATTTGGTTGAAATTTTTTGTTCAGAATGTTGATATAATGGCTCCTCTGTGGTTTCACTGCTCGGGTTCTTCTCAGAAAGAGATGAAAAACCAGAGGGTTTGCTTAAATCAATCCCAAAAAGGCGGTAAGGGGCACCAATCTCAGGCTTCTTACATTCATCCTTGTCTTTACAATGGTTTAGTTTCTGATCCTCAACCACATAGCCAAGGATGCATTGCCTTTTAGGAGTAGCAGCTTTCTTCACTTGATTTATCTCCAGAAATGATTTCAGAGAAGCACTTGAAGCCGAGGACAAAGGCTTAGAATTCATCAATGCAGAATTTTGCTTCAAGAAGCCATTAAGAACTCCATTATGCTGAAATTTCCTCTCATAGCTCTGCGAATGCATTGCGCCAGAGTGCCGAAAAGAGGCAGAGGTTTCTGCAACTCATTATAACAATTAAGTTGAGATGGATTGTGACTTGTAAATAATCATATAATAGCAGTAATCAATTGAATTTTAGGCTTCGTTTGGGACGGATTTCTTGTTGCTTCTTAAAACAGCTTTTTAATACAAAAATTTAAATTTTTGTACTCGAAAGCTGCTTTAAGAAGCAATAAAAATGCCGTCCCAAACGAAGCCTTAGTCACTACCTAATGGTAGAGAATCTGATTGATCCATCAAGAACCTAGGCCTCTTGTTCGTTGCGACAGTGGGCGTCGAAGAACTGCAAGGCTCAATCTCCCATGGAGAAACCCTATCAGGTCGCTGAAAGTTCATCTGCTCGTCCCAATGAACCTGTATTAATAAAGATATGAGAAGTTTGCAGAAGAATCAGAAAAAAATTCTAATGGAAAAAACCAAATATGTTAACCTTCAATTGTTTCCACTTGGAGCCTTCCCACTGAGAAGATAGATCTCCCAAGCTAACTATAGTTCCAGTATACCTGCATTTTGAAAATAAGGATACAAACTGAATTCAAATCTTCATAAAGAAAAAATGTGGAAAAATCAGGCACAAATCATGCTGCCTAAACCATTTATTTACCTTTTCTCAGGAACATCATCGCCCTCGAATCTCATCTTGAATTTCATTCCAATGGAAAGTTCATTTTTGACAGATTCAAAGTATTTATTTGCGCCAATGATAAATTGACTAGTCCTGAATCACCAAGATGATTCAAAGCTGTTACAGTCAAAAAAAAAAAAAAAAAAAAAAAAAAAAATCATTCCAACCTTGGCTTGTAGCAGACTGTGAAACGGGTATGAGTTTTCACAGCATGAGAAGCTGTAGCAAGAACACCAATGTGCATGCTATGACTTGAGATCACAGATGATGGAATAGTGCTCTTTTGTTGAGCTAGGCGCTTAACACCAACCCTCAATTCTCCATTTTCTCCTCTGCAAACAGTATCAACTTTCAAATTAAGGGATCATCCAACAGAAGTTATAAGGAAGAAGTTAAGGAAATCTTTCTCAAATGCAGTAACCATAGATAAAGAAGCATAAAATTATCACCTCAGGAAAACAAATGCATCACCAGCCACCAATCTCTTACAGGAGACAAAGGTACTCCATCCTGTTGTGAGCAGATGCCGCCGGGGTTGACCTGCGATTTGAAAATGGTGAGAAACAAGCACAAAATCTTCCATGTTCCTTAAATAAATATTTCAGGGCATCTCCAACCGAAAATCTCATTCTTCACTCCAAAATGCAGTTAAACTAAAAAATGGTGTGATTTATCTCCAATCGAATTATGCGAAGGTAACCGTCTTTCTCCTCTTTCGCCCGTTTCTTCGGCAAATCCAGTAGAGACAAAAAAATTAACGCAGGTGAACAATGCAACCCCAATATTGAAGTCACACTGTTCACCCGCAACCAAATACTGGAAGTTTTGCCTTCCAGGTCATTCATGTGTTTGGAGTTCGGTTGGAGAAGGCTCGTATAAAAACTTGATTCCCTGCCATTAATTACCTCTATAAATGTGCTTGAATCGCCATTCCAAACCATGGAGGTCTTTTGCAGACAGCTCCTGGGTTGGTGTTGGCTGAGACATATCCTGATTCAGAAGAAAGCACAGTCAAGATGGTTACTAAAATATGCATAAAATAGTTTAATATGTAGAAAGAAAACTAACCAGTTGAGGAATACAGTCATTAGCATGGCGACGGAGAACTGAGAATCCTCCATGAGTGCTCGTGTCGGAGGCAGTCAAGATCTTGCAAAATGAGTTGATCATCGGCCTCTTTGGCTCAGGGACGCATGGGTCTGGTGTTTTGAGTTCGGTTTGCTTTCAAAATTCAGATAAAACATATTCAAATTCTTGTAGAAAAAGTGAAAAAAAATAAAATCAAACCCAACAAAAAAAATTGGCGCTTTGCTTACTTCTGCCTCTGGAAGTAAAGTGATCTGTGCGTAAACCTCATCAGTTTCAACCTCCGCCTGTTGCAGAGAAGAAAAGAGACAAATTTCAAATCAAAGGAGCTATACAGACCATTCCAACTTGGAATCCATAAAGAAATCATCTTTTCAAACGCAATTAGCAGTTCAACAGAGAGAAACCAAAATAAAAATTACCCTGAGCTCTATGTGCAAAACACGACAAAGAATCTTGTAGGGAAGGCTGAAGAGAGGAATTCTATGATCCAACTCCTGATTCGTCGATGCCTCTAGCTGAATATCCCCATTTAAAAGATTCGTTAGAAATCAGAATAATTTGAATAAAAATAAAATATCTGCTCACCTGCTCCATGTGACCTTGAGGGAAATAGTAAACCCTATCCTCAACGCGAGGTATCTCCACAAGCGGCCCTGCGCACGCCCTCCATAGCTCCTCATACAGATCGTCTCCACCCATACTTCAATCAAACACCAAAAAGTCATCAAACTTCGAACGAAAGTAAGCCCAATAAGAAAAACGGCCATTAGAACAGAAGAAACCTCACCTTGTTTTGATTGATATCACCAGGAAAAAATTTCCTTGTTTTTCTCTATCTTCCTCTCTCTTTCAACGCCAAATGAAACTCTTTTCTTGCTCTTCTGTACTTCGCCCACTTTTTCTTCGTCAATTGCCACACTCCTTCCGTTTCTTCTTCTAAATAACTCCAACCAGCTTCAAAAATTCCAATTTTGGACGAAGAAAACCACTTGCCCTTCCCCCTTCCGTTGATTTGCTCCCTCTTTTGCAGCTAAAAAGTACCGACGTCTGTCTATCGTAATTATATAACGCCTCTTGACAGTTCTTAATATCACCACAAGTAAGAGTATGGTGGTGGCGGTCAAAAAAGCTTAGAATTACTGCTGGTGACTGTACATTGTAGCCGGCGCAAGGTTACGTGCTGCCGTGCTGCCGTGCTGCCGTTACTGTGTACTATTCTCATAACGGTCTCTTCATTAATTTGCTTGGCGGCGTGCGGGGCGGCGAAGGAGGGGGGCCGTCGTTACTCTTCGGGACAGGTGCCGTCAGAGACGGCTCTTGACGCCGTTTGGTGGCCGTGTCTGCCTTAACGGCTATCGTTGTCGTTGCGGGGACCGCTCCCTCTAAAAATCCCCCGCCATTAACCGTCGCATTTTTTTTGGGATAAGTTTGATCGACAAATTCTATTTCGGATAAAATGGAAAACAGGATCCGTATTTAGAGCAAAGAAAAAAAACCTAAAGGGCTTTTTGGACCTTTTGGTATCGGATTGGATTTAATTTAGTGATATTTAGTAAATCTTGTAAATTTAAATTTAGTAATTTTAAGAGTGTTAAATTTTATAAACTGTTTGGTAAGACTTTTTTTTTTGGAAAGACTTTATTAAATAAAGATAAATTTTAAGAAATTATTTGTCAACATAATCATACATTTAAGATGTTTGGTTGGTTTAAAAATTAAATTTAATGTGTTTTGAATTTAATTTATGTATTAATTATGAATTATTTATTAATTTTAATTTTAAAATTTTTAATAAATTATAATGATAATTAATATAATTAAAAATTAGCTTAATTATTACTAATCATCAAATTAATTACCTAGGTTACTAATCATCAAATTAATTACTTAGGTGTTAATTAGCAAATTATTTATTATATAATAATATTTTTAAATACTAATTAATTAATTAATTTTTTAAATTACTACTTATTTAACTAATACTCATATATAATGATTTAATTATTTAAGTATTAAACAAATTTAATAACAGTATTATTATCAATAATTATTGTTGCGGGCTAGAATATACGAGGTGATAGAGTTATAGTTGTATTTGTGTCGTCCACATATCCAGCTAACACATAAATAACACGATATTTTTTACGTAGAAAACCCCGAAGAGTTGAGGAGTTTTGAAATATAACTATATAAGTCTATTATTTCTAAATTATAACAGTCAGTTATTTAACAACAGCTTTAATTATCTTTTATTGTTGTTTTATATATATAGTACTTTTATTTATCTATATATTTTAAATATTTATTAAAAAATAAAAAATCGTATAACTTTGATCTATATACATTAACTAATTTTAAAATGCTATCATTTAAATTTAGTTATATAATATATTCATATAAAAAATTCATATTTAAATTTTAAGGATATATTTTTTTTAATAATAAATTAATAAAATATACAAAATATTAAGTCAAAATAATGAAATATAGATATAAACTAAAAATATATATAATAATTGAATTATCCCAAGTAAAGGTAAATGTGTAGAATTAAAATTTTAATACAATTTATTTATCAATAAAATTTTCTTAATAACATAATCTTATTGATCTTTATATTTAATAATTTAAAAAAGAAAAAAAAAAATTAAATATTAAATGATGGATGTCAAATCAGTACAAGCTAAATTGTTACGTCATGGAATATTCGCAGCGGTAGAGAAATACAATGTTTTTAACGTCTTAGCTTTGTATGAAGATCCAGCATGCAATCAAGATAAGAGAGTGTGTAATATTCATAAGAGAACAAACCGAGATTTTTATATATGAAAACCTAAAAAGGGAAAAAATCACAAGGCCTAGCCTAGTTTGAATGAATCCACTCGTATTTGCAGTTGATTACAATGAGACCCTTCATCGGGGGAAAGACCTTGGCTTGATGTAATAAATTATATAACATATAGAGTTTGTTACATGATAGAACTTGAAAGAATCATTTATTGATATTAATTTTTTTGGTCATTTGAACCATAATCAGTGGGCGATGGAGGTTAGAAAGATAATTTTTAGTAACGGAGGTTAGAAGGACTATAGTCGGCGGGCGACGGAGGTCAGAATGACCGATTGTCTGGCGACGGGTTGGAAGGACCATAGCTGAATGTAGTCGGCGGTGGACAGAGGTTAGAAGGACAAATTGTCGACCGTAGTTGACGGGCGACGAGGTTTGCTAGAGACCATAATAATAGCGCAGATAGAGGTTATAAAGATCGTTGTCTAGCGATAGAGTCAGAAGGAATATTTTTTGGTTGATGAAGGTCATACAAGACCGTTGTCTGATGACGGAGATCGAAGGACGGGGTTCAGGTAAAAGTCCACGATGGATAGAAGTTCAGTATTGGATAAAAGTCAGAACGAATGTCCGAGAACGAACAAAAGTCTGGCACCGGGAAGAAGGTCGAATGGAATTTTGGTGACATATAGAAGTCTGTGTTAGGAAAGAATTTGACGACGGACGTAAGTCTGATGTTGGATAGAAGTCCTTATTGATGGAACATAAGTCCGTATCGGATAGAAGTCCAACGAAAGTCCGACGACGGGAAAGTCCGAAGTTAGGTAGAAGTCAAGCGTTGGTAGAAATATGGCGATGATCGGAGGTCCGATTGTCAGGTAGAGGTCCAACATGTGACGCCCCAGGCATCTATAGTGAAAGGATTCGTCTGACAGTCTTACTTCTTCCCTCTTTTTTTTTTCTTTTCTCGCTCAGACCAATACAGACATCAGAAATGATATTGCATTAAAGAAACGCAGATACCTCAATAATACTATAATTTCACATTTCAACATTTCATAATACAACGTTCCAAAAGAACATGTACAATAGCGCCGGGCTTCAAAACAAAGCCAGAACATAAACTACGAAAACTCATACTAGCAGTCTGAAGGAGCTTCACGCGGGAGGCTCTTGCACCTGAAATTGTTAACCACATATTTAATGAGCTTAAATAGCCCAGCAGGTCACCAAAGCCTATAACTGAAATCAAAGCTCGGCACGAAAGTAATACGCATGTCAAATGATCAAATCAAATCCATAACAGTCCAGTTGCACATGATCAGTGAATCTATGCAGATATGGAAATTGCTACAGAAACAGGAATCAATGCATGAACAATAGAATCCCAAAATCATCAATGATAAAATCAGTGAACAGTAGAAAATCCATAAAGCTCATAAATCAGAAATCAGTTCGTGCATCAAATCTCTTTAAATAGTCGTCTTCTATCAATATCAGTCTATAACATTAGTCGAAATCATGTATTGAATCGTATCACAGCATACCAACATATATACTTCCAAATTCCAGTTCTTTTAACTTGCTCAATAAATCATATACAATTCAGTAATTGGTATTACGTGCTCAATGAGTCACATGTCACTTGTTCAGTATATCACGTGCATAAAGTCAGTTCAGTGAATCAGTAGTAGCAATGTATGTATCAATATCAGTAACAATCCAATAACGGCATAAACGATTATGCTATAACGGTGAATCATCTGTAGTAACAGACAAATCACGTACATTAACAATAAATCCACACAGAAATTAAGTCCGTACTAGTAAATCCGTCAAATCAATATACGATCAACATCACTCAACCATATCCATAGAATCAATCAGATCAAATTAAAGAATTCACTTCCGGTTAATAGTATCAAAACGGTATAAATCACATAGAACAATCAATACAGTAACATCGTATTCTTATATTATATGGTCAGTGCATCACATGTCCCCACACATATAGGTCAGCATTCGATGTATCACGTGCTATAAGATCAGTACTAATTATCAGTATCCGATAAATCAGTAGTATCGGTATCAGTATCGGATAGTATCAACGAATCGATGCAGTATCAATGTCCATATCAGTTATCTGTGTTCAGTAACGGGTAAAATATGACAAATTATTATGAAATCGTGCAATGACAGGAAACTCATAAATCCGTACAAGCGTTCAGATAATCACAGAAATCATATATAATCAAATGAGATACGATATTCAGATACTTGATTATGAATGAATATCAGAATATTTAAGTCAGATTTCATTATGAAACCAATCGGACTCGTACAGAACAACGAATACATATGTCATGACGATAGTCATAATCAGACTATCAGAACAATACATAATCTAATACTTGAACATAGCAATTCAGAATTAATTGACAGCTATATTCAGATATTCATAACATGCATATCAATAAATCATAGTATAGATCATATCCATGTAGAAATCATATAATCATCAGAATACAAATACTTGATCAACAAAATTCAAATCACTGATACAGAAAAATAGAATTCACGAGTCAAATTTCACAACACAAGACAGAATCGTACGGAGTAATACAGAAATCGTACAGAACGAAAAAACGTACAGAATAATAGGATCGTACGGAACATATCTCAAATCAGATAAAATCACATTCATCTCAGATATTCTTCAGATATTCATTAAATAACAGAGCAGATATACGTCACAGAAATATATTATCAGAATCAATCATCAGATTTCAGATTCCAGACCCTTACAAAATCTAATACGGATTCTGGCCCTTATGTTCTCCTTTATTGCTTTGGCACCAGAACTTCCCCTTATATCTCCCTTGTGCGTATAGCACCAGAAATTCTCTGAGTAATTAATAGCTAAAGTGTGTCTCACGGCACCAGAAATGTTCTCTGAGTAATTAAATAGCTAAGTGTGCTCACGGCACCAAAATTTCTCTGAGTAATTTATAGTAGCTAAGTGTGGCTCACGGCCCAAATTCTCGAGTAATTAATAGCTAAATGTGCTCACGGCACCAAAATTCTCTGAGTAATTAATAGCTAAGTGTGCTCACGGCACCAGAAATTTCTCTGAGTAATTATAGCTAAATGTGCTCACGACACCAAATTTCGAGTAATTAATAGCTAAGTGTGTTACGGCAAAAGATCTCTGAGTAATTAATAGCTAAGTGTGCTTATAGCACCAGAACAGCTTAGCACCAGAACAGAATAAATTTTCGGATCTGGAACAGAACAGATATTTCTCCAACCTGAGCTCATCTAAGATTTCCCCAGACACTACTGAAATCTCATAGGTCCAGGCCCCTTATAACTCCCTTCTGATAACATGCACTCATCAAAACATTCAAATCAGAAAATCGATTTCGTCAGAAAACTCGTCAGCGGCATAACGATAGTATACGGAATTTACACAGAAATCAAGATTCAGAAATTTACCAAATTACCTCAGAATATTCCACATACACATTATAAGTACTTTTATCGACTCAGAAACATTTTGCAACATCCTAATAATTTTCTATTCGATAAAATCACACAGAACCAAAATAACCGGTAGAATTTTACAGAAAATACTCAAAACGTTCAGAATATCTATTCAGAAACATATCAAAGTTGCTGCGGTAAAACTTTCGCCATTCCAAAGATATGCAAGAAATTCGGTAACGGAAACACAAAACTGAACAGAATAAATACCAAAACACAAAATCTTCGAAACAGAAATAGGAATTCGGAGTCCTTACTGCGAGACAAACAAATCTTCCAACTGCGTCGTCGGAAGAAAGCGCTCCGCGGGTCCAAAACCAAGCTTTTCCTTTGCTTGTTTTCTCTTTCCTCTCTCTCTCTTCCTTCTCTCTCTTCAAATGAATCCAAAATATATCTCAAATCTGGATATTTATCAACACTGATGTCTTCGGACGATCACATATTCCGTCCCGGGACGATTTGCCCTCTGGCCAAATTTCGTACAGACAAAAATTAAAATAGCGTCCCGGAACGACTTGCTTCTGGATCAATTTCGTACAGACGGATCGTCCCGACCCTTCAAGGTTCGTACAGACGAAAATGACAGATTTTCTTCACAATTTCTTCAGTTCGTCCAGTACTAAATCCAGTTCGTACAGACTAACTGCACTAAAAAAAATCATAGCTTTTCAAGGCATTGATCGTCCCGGCGATCTCAATATCATCCCGAACGATCCTGGGAGGAAATCACATCTACAGAGAATCAAATCAAATGAACGAGCTCTCACTTACAACATTAGTCGGGGGTCGGGCATAACTCTAGCGTTAGATGGAATTCGGACAGAACTCTGGTGTCGGTAGGCTGCCGAGTGGAAGTCCGACAATGGTCGATGAGGAGTCTCTTCCTTGCTTTATTCTCTCTCTTCTTGCTTGGTATCCTTCTTCCCCCGCCCCCCACAACTTCGGGGGTCCCCTTTATAAGAAATGAGGGATCTATTTTTAATTTTATGAGAGTGATATGACTAGTAAATAACAGGAAGATCAAGGGTAAATTGTGAGTTGTTTGAATGACCTGCCGATTTTGATCCTTTAATCAAATACCGTTTATTGGGCATTTGAACTTCTTAATGATATCAGAATTCGACAATCATAGGCTCTGGATTTGTCTCATCGAGCTGCTCGATTCGACTATAAGCATGTCATGTTTGTAAACTGTTTGATAATTCAAATTATGATTTGAACCATCCGAATGTGCTTTGGGTTTTTGATTTGGACTCATTTTGGGCTCGGATTGAGTTGAATTTGGTGTGTTGGGTTCGTATTTCCGAGACGTTCAGTTGGACTATAAGCTTGCTGAAATCAGAGTTCAGATGATTTCGAATTTTAATTTTTGAAATTTCCAACTTAATTTGTTCTTCGAGATTCATGCAAGATCAGGATAATCTTTTGATAATGTACCACTAACATATTTCAATGTTTAGAAGGTTACAATGTTCTAAGTAAAGAGCTTGTGATGAAAACTACCTAAATCAAATGATGGATACAGATGTAATATTATATTTAAATATCAATTTAAATTTACATATTTAATTATTGTATATAATTAATCCTAAGCCAGTATCATGATCGTTGCTTGAAAATAGAAAAAAGATAATCGTAATATTATTGAATTTAACAAAAAAATGCATTTTCAAAAATCACATTATTAAAAAATTTTAGCGACATCTTAAGCCCTCCTCCTATGTGGAATGACATCCTGTGTCGGAGGTATGTCTAGAAGATATGTGCTTACATCTCCTATAGAGTTACGATTATTCTTCATGCACACCCTTTCTCTTTTCATGTACATCACTCATTTGTTTGTAATTGCTAGAAAAGTAAATTTTGTTGGGCGGGAGATATTGGCAACCCAAAGGAGGCCATCCAACTGGGGACACTCTTTTCGTACGAGGGACGTGCGATGTTTGAATATGTGTCAATGCTGCTAGTGGCCCCCATTGTTAGTCACATATTCCACCCCTAACATCTTCTTATGTACTTGCTGTATGTGCATTTCCCCCACATATAGGATGGCTTTGATTTTGTGGTGATATATGATCTCTTATAGTCAGCTTATCCTATATATATGAACTACCATAGAGTATTCAATAAATATAATATACATTGAATTATTTTAATTTAATTACTAGTTTTGAATTATTAAAATAGTACTATTCAATAAATATTATTTCAATCAAGAATTATTAAATAAATAATTTAAATATTCTTATAATAAGGACTACAAAGCAACGATTGTTAATAGAGAAAAAAAAGTAAAAAAAAAAAAAAATTAGAATAACGTACTCAACATAAACTAATCGACAATTAACAAAATATATAAAATTATATTCCCATAATTAACTTAATATAATCCTGCTAAAGTATTTAATAATTACTATTATTAAACTAGATAGCACAATTACGTACAAATAATATAATGAGGTCTATAAAATATTAGTTTCCATTAAGCAACAAATATATATTCAAATTTTTATTTTCAAGAGTGCTTCATTTTTGAAATATAAAATATCTTATTAATTTATTTTTTATTCAGATATTTAAATTGATAATAATAAATAAATAGAATAGACAAATCTTATTTTCCATCTTTGTTCTCGGCTTTCGATCTCCTTGAGGTTTCTAGCTTGTCCATGTTTTCTTCTTCATCTTTCGCGGCGGTAAGGAAACTGCACGTGTTCGGTCGACCACCTCGACTCACCAAGCTCGCGCTCCATACTCCGAAATCCGTATTTCTTTCCCTTTTTCTCATTTTCTTGTAGATTCTGTAAACCTAATTTTTCTAAGCTTTAACTTGATTGACTTTGACTGTTATGCACATTTTGCTAGAGGTTGTCTGCAAAGTTACTTTGTTTGCTAATCTCGATCCATGCCACATGGTTGATACAATCCACCTGTGTAATTTTATCTAATCAAAGTTGCAAATAGATGTTGCCTGATAGCAGGAGGCCAAATAATCGGAATTTGTGAAATCGGAAACGGAATTAACTTGGACGATAGATGAACACTGATGATACAATGAACCAGTGAGCATTGTTGTTAGGTTTTAGCAATTCTCTGCATATTTAATTTTCAATGGTAATGGGAGCAGAGAATAAATTCCTTGTGAAATCAGTTAATTGAACAAAGTTTGAATGGAATGCTTGTTGAAGATTTTAAGTTTTCTTTGAATATAGTTTTTGTAAATTTAAATGTTTTTATGGCACATGAAGTTTCAGGTTTAGTCTCTTATAAGATAATTAAAGAAATTGTTGGTGTAGAAAATCAAGTGATTGTTCCTCATCAATAAGCTTAAAGTTTTGAATTGAAAACATATTTGACATGGGTGTAATTGGCCCAACTTTGGCCCCCTTTGATCCATCATTTCTAAAATATTTTGTCTATGCATGAGACATATTGATTTGTTCCCAACATTAGATAAATGAAAGATATGTTGGTGATGAGGACATTAAAGATCAACGGCTACGATCTGGAGTTTATATTTTTTTTATGTGTTTTATGTACTAGTTTATTTTATATTTATGTTTTTTCCATTTTACTGGTCATGTGGTGTTGTTGTTCGAAGGGCATTTTATTAGTCATTGTTTCTTTTCTTTTCATGAGGTCTATTTATAGATTAGTTCTCTTGTATTTTGGAATGATGATTGATTAATAAAATTATGAGTTTTCTTTGTCTCCCTCAATGTTGAGTGTTTGAGAGAAGAAGAAGACCCAAGGTGTGGGCAATCGCAATACCCGTAAACCTTTGGAAGGGTCCAAGTTTTGCGGCTCTACTTTTTATTCCTCGCATCTCCTCCAACTTCTCCCGTCATCCCCCCAGCCGTCGCCGACTTGCCCCCATTTCCACCACCCCACATTTTCCCCTACCGACTACCACCTCAAGACCCGCCAGCCTCCCTTAGCCATTTCTTCCCCTCTATCTGACCGAACTTTCCCATCTTAACTCCTCCCCCAAATCCATACCAAACTCCCCCCAAGCTCCACCACCGGCCACATCCTTTCCCTCTTCTTGAATGATGAAGTAACTCATCATTAATACTTGCCTAAAAAAGCCTAAGTGATTTGGGAAATTCATCTCAACAATTTGAAATTAAAATTTTAAATTTCAAATAGTTTCCTAAATTATAAAGTCATATTAGACAAGTCTTGAATCTAATCCCAATTTAATTTTAAATTGGGTTGGAATGATTGATCTCATCCTAAACTACACTTCCCTCCAAATCTCCCATGAATTTTGAAATTCAAAATTTAAATTTCTCTTAATTACTTTCTTAAAATAACTCATGTCAATTTGGAAAGTGTCTTTATTTGAAATCAATTCTATATTAGAATTTCAAATATTTTCCTCTTTGATAATCTCTAATTTGGAAACCTTCCCAATTACATTAAATATGAAATTAAATTTCATATTTAATTTCAATCTCTAATTAATACATAGGGTCCACATACATTGCACCTAGACATAACTCCTCCCTCTTCCTATGGCCGTCCCTCTCTCTCTCTCTCTCTCTCTCTCTCTCTCTCCCTCCCTCCCTATTCTCCCTCCAATCTAGTCACTAAGTCCTAATTAAATTCCCCCACTAATGCCCTTAACATTCGCCCCCACCAACCATATTTGGGATTATTTTGAATGTCAACTTCAAATCTCCCTCCCAATTAAATCATTCTCTAAATTCCTGCTTGCTGCTCTCCGAATCCATCAAGCGTGTCTTGCTGTCCAGCAGCAAGGAAGGCTACAGTTTCTGTCCATAGCTCCCAGCAGCCCAAGGGGCAAGCCAAGGCGTTTCTAAGCATTACGGGGTGCTGTGCAGGGCCTGTCCAAGGTCAAAACAGCTGTTATCCTGAAATTCTGTACCTCTTCCCAGCCATTCCTTGGTGCGAGAATGCTTTTGACTGCTGCCCACTTCTTTCCCAGCATTCAAACGACCTTGCCGGAGTGCTTATCTCTCTTGTCTTTGGGTAAACTCGACACCGACTCTCTATTTTCATAGTTGCATCATTGATTGTGGTTTTAATTTGATTCACTAAGACCGTGTTAATTCTCTCTGCTAAAGTCTAGTATATTATAGAGTTGAGTGAGGGACATCTATTAGTGACTAATCTCATTGTTAGTTTATGGCTTATCGTTGAAAACCAACCACGTACACAATGTTAGATTAATTTATTATTTTACGACCTTAACTCCTATGCATGTAATTTAGCCTAAGCTTATTTTATCGCCTTATTGTTTTATCTTAGCATTTATATCGGCATAAGTTTTATTTAATATTGTTCTCAAAATATTAAATGTGCAAATTTCCTTAATCTAAATCATCCTTACATGTATGTTATACATCATATTGGTATCAGAGCATGGCTAGCATGCGTTACATGTGCTAGAAGTCATCCTAGGATCTTACATAACCATTCTTATGTATTGTTGCATGCATATCATCATTTAACCTAGTTTAAATTAATGTTATGCTTGCTGCCCACATCATTTCTACACACATCTAGTGAATGTTAGGCTGGTTTCTTAATTGTTTAGGTGCTGTCTTTAACGTAACAACCTTCCTAACTGCCTAGACTTCTTAAAACACCTTTGTAGCTTGCTGTCCAAACCGTTCCTGCACCATCTAGTGACCTTTAGGTGAGTATGTTTAAGTGTTTAGGTGCTATCATTAACCCAACAACCATCCTAATTGCCTAGATCACTTAAGTCTCTCTTGTTGCTTGTTGTCCAGTAATTTCCTGCACCTTATAGCGAGTCATAATTATGTTTCCTCCTTGTAGAGTGTTGTCCCTTACACCCAATCTTCTTTAGGTATCACTTAGCGCTTCCCAATGGACCTAATAGGACTTTAAAAGAAGTTTGTTGACCTTGTTAATCTAGTGGGCTCTATGTCTAAAATCATGAAGGAGAAACATGTCGACTCTCCCCACTCTAGGTACGTGCCCCATTCTGTCGATCATGCTAGTTGGAAGATGCCCCACTCTGCTTATCAACCTAGACATGAGCTTAAGCCGCAACAATCTCACTTAGAGTCTCATAACTGTTTGCCCAGCTTTGATGGTTCCTCGGATCCTTACTACTTTAGAGAATGAGTTAGACAATTAGATGACTATTTTGAATCAAGTGATATTCCTAAGTCCCACAAGGTTAGCATTGCTAAGTCTCGCCTGAACGATAGTGCTCGTCAATTTTGGATGAGGTTGGAAGATCATAAAGAGTCTCGTGGCGAATACTCTACTTCCGATTGGAAAGACATGAGACGAGAACTTGGATTAAAATATCTTTCCCGTACTTGTGGCCAACCATTTGATTTTAAGATTAGGTCACCCACTGTTCATCGAACTTTAGGGTACAACATTTTCAAGGACCCTACATGTGAAAGTCAGTCCTACGCACCTGTTATACTTCAACTTGATATCGTGACTCCTAGTCCTCACCGAGTGCCAGTTACCCATTTCCATACTTCTACGGTTACCCTTAAACCTGCCCGACATACCACTCCCACTTACGTATCTAGTCAGGAAATGACCCCAACACCTAGTGATCTTCATCTGGAACACCACCCTGCCTTAGGGCTGTCAATATTTGACCCGACCCGAAAACCCGACCCGGACCCGACACGAAAAATCCGGGTTGGACCCGACCCGTTTGAAAAATGGGTCGGGTTCGGGTTCGTAGATTTGACCCGTTTGAAAAACGGGTCGGGTTCGGGTTGACCCGGCGGGTTGCCGGGTCAACCCGAAAACCCGTTTATTTTAAAAATTTTGGGTTGACACCCCTACTTGGCCCTTGTTCCAGTCAGACGGAAGCACGCCGGGAGCTCGCCAACTCACCTAACTCGAATTACTAGATAAATTACATATTTAATATATATTTTGAATATAAACGGGTCCGCGGGTCGGGTCGGGTCAACCCGGTAACCCGTGCGGGTCGGGTCCGGGTTAAAATATGTGACCTGTTTGCAAAAACGGGTCGGGTTCGGGTTGACCCGTTTAGACCCGGGTCAACTCGGGTTCGACCCGAACCCGACCCGCGGACCCGATTTGACACCCCTACCCTGCCTCTTTTGTTGGGACAAACCGTGGACATCACTGTGATCGAGACCACCCATCCTTTAGTAACTTCAGGGTTGTTGCCCCACCTTGTAGGTCTTCACCTAGCCTTGATGGCCGACCCTCTATTGGGTCTCTTGTTGGATCGGTCCCATATGACTCTCCACGTGGGCCAACTCCTAGCCATCCCAATCCACCTTGTTTGAGCATGCATCATCTCTGCGTGGTGGAGCCCGATTTACCTCACCACGTAGGTGACTTTCCCACCTTTAAAATCAGTGAGGATTCTAAGGCTACCCAACCCTTGGTATCCCCAATCTTTGACCTTGCAAGTGTAATTGTACCCAAAAGAAGCAATGCTAAGGATAAGTTCCATGAACCTGAGATTGAGTGCATCCATTTCGTGGATACTAATGATATCACTGATAACGATGACTTCTTTGAGGATGAGACTGAAGTAATTGAATTAGACTCACAACATTACTTAAACCCTGATTTAGGAGATTTAGAACCTTTGAGCATTGATGTTTTAGCCCATCCTGACCCTAACCCCATCAAGGATATCCCGTTGGATAAGGTCTGCTTGGATCATATTAATTTGACCCAGAAAGAAACTGATCTAACCTTGAGCATATTGAAATTGAATTCGGAAGATAGTGATTTGAATCTGAATTATTCTGAGCCT